TCAATGTACCTTGGTATGTATTCTTTTTTACAATGGAAGTAGGTATGTGTAAATTCAAAACTTTAAAGCCGTTTTTCTCGAGCTCCTTTTTTGAGTATGCATGAAGTAAACGAGCGATATGTACATACATACAATATATAACTGCATCTAGAACTACAAATCGTCAAAATCGCGTTACGGCAATCTTTTACCCAGGCGCTAGCTTATGAGAAAAGTTTCAAAGTCCATTTTTAAAAGTATAGAGCATATCAAAATAATGTCGACTCTAAAGTTAATAGGAACTTTTTTGGCAGATATCCCATTGAAAAGTATATCAAAAATCTGCGAATAACTTTAGCATCGACTTTATTTTGACTCTAAATGTGCCCCAATATTTTTTATTTCAATAGCTTGATGGTATGTATGAAGTATGGATTGAATGTCCTTCATATCAACATTTCCAACAAAGTCTCCAATTATTTCAGTTCATCAAAATATGCACCAGTCATAAGATCGTGATCAGATATGCCGAATACCTTCATCAAATCATTTGCTATTTGTTGCCCCTCTTCTATTGTCTGATCTGGACGCAGGCAAACTTCGAATTCCATAAAATTACCCAAGTTTTTAACTTTATCCATATGTATACGAGTTTGACCATGTAAAAATAAGTATCTCTTTTTCTCCAAAACTCCTTTTATTCCATTACTTCGTGCTAAAATCTTTTCAAGCAGTGCCGGATCTTCTACTTCCAGTTTATTGAAGGTGGAAAGTTTCGGTCCAGCCTTATTAGGACGAACGTAATAAATGAGCTGTGATGGTATAGGTGGTCCTAAGTAACGTAACTTAAACCTAGCTCCATCAGTGTCGTCCAGAATATTAAAAAACACGTCCCTTTGCTCTAGCACCTCCCCGGTAGATTGTGTGAGTTCGCGCGCCATTTGTACTCGACGTTCAAATTCCTTGTCACTTCCAACTCGTGCCTTTATTTCGATGTTCCTTTCATCAACAGGAAGACTATTTTCCGCAATAATAGACATTTTTCCGTATCAATTGAGAAATATGCTTACGCTGGTGGGTGAAGAATTTCGCAAATAAACCAACAATACCGCTTGTTTGTTTATAAATCTTCATTGGACAAGGTTATGCCGGCACCAGCGTTATCATCTCACTCCGTTTTGAGAAACCTAATAAATTTTAGTTGGCAATGGTGAGTTTCTGAAAAATAAAAATGATTGCATAAATGATATTACAAATCAAATACATAAATGTATTAATTTTTAGCTAATAGGTACAATAAATTTTGTATAATCAAAGTATTGAGATTGTTTTTATCTATTTCACTCCGAATGAAAAAACATTCGTTCGCAGCAAAAATCTAACCGCGAATGACGTTGTTCGTTCGCGCAAAACAACTAGCATTTTCCGATTTGGTATGGCAACCTGCAAGTTGAAACCCTCACAATCAGCTGTTTTTGTTTAGTCGTATAGTTTAATTCCGTAATTTGCTGTAAACTTTTCATTTTATTTCGAGCCAGGTGCAAAATTCATCATATATATGTAGGAAATGATAAAGTAATAAGATTCTTCCCTTCTTAAACGCAACGAACTTTGTGGCAATGTTGCTATCAATTCTATTTCGATTCAAAATATTACATAATCGTCCTTTGCTTTCAGATATGCCTTTCTACAGTAGCAGCATTAGACGTATCTTGGACAAGTGGCCTGGTAAACAACGTTTTGGTGTCTACAGATTCTTACCACTGTTTTTTATACTCGGTGCAGCTTTGGAATTTTCCATGATTAACTGGACGGTGGGAGAAACCAATTTTTGTAAGTCAATAATTGCACACTGTGCTAACTAACATACAAAATTTAATTTTTGAACTTACAGATAACACATTTAAAAAACGTCAAGCTAAAAATTTCGTAGAAGGAAAATTGCAAGCGCCAGCTAAAGAAGCAGTGTAGTTATAATTCGGTCGAAAGCGAAATATCTCAACATAAGTTAAAGAAGCAAAATGCCTGCTGGAGTTTCTTGGGTTCAATATATGAAATTCTTTTCGGCGGCTATGTTGTCTATGATGGCGGGCTCTCAATTGGTTCATATGTACTACAAACCTCTAGATGATATAAACGTGTACATAGAGCGTGAAAAGAGTGCTGCTAGTACTACTCCAAATACTGTAAATACCGATAAGCCACCACAAACGGCGGATGAAAAACTACTATCTAATAAAAAGTAATCATTATAAGAAACAAAAATGGATGCAATATTCATAAATATTAGGTAGTCCAAAAATGAACTTTATTGTGTAGAATATTTGTAACTTAAGCAGAGCCGGGCACTTTATGATAACGATTACGTATTGATTACTTAGCAATACGATTGCTGTAACTGTAATTATGATGTGCTTGATTGTGAATTACTGTAATCGTGAACCTAAAAATTTTAAGAAATTAGGATTACTATTACAGTAGTCGTAATCGTCAAATTTTTAGGATTACAATTAAAGCAATCGCAATCATGCAATAAATGATTGAATGTAAAATTATTCTTTTTTCTGGTAATTTCCATATGAAATTCAAAAAAACAAAATCATTTTGTACTTAAATTGCTTTCGTGAAAATGGCTGCAATAAAATTACAATAATCAAGAAATTAGTTTTACTTAGAGCAAGTATTGCTTTTAAATTATGAATTCGCGGATTTTTTTGAAATTGTAATATTCTACTCGTGGCCGCAGTATGTACTTCAAATAATGTTTGATTTTGATTAACTGCATGTATTAATAATAATAATAATTTTTAGGATTACAACTAAAGTGTTCGTAATCGTAATTTTATTTAAAATTACCATTACAGTAATCTTCGTCCTTAAATTTTTAAGACTACAATTATTATATTCATAATGTTAACATTTATGATTACAATTAAAGTAATGGTAATCGTATATAATTGAAGGATTACAATTGAGCAATCGTATTGCCTTCTCTTAAAAAAGGGGTTATTTTGGTCATCTAATAAGAGCAAAACCCTTATAATTATATCCAGCTCCTTAACTGTTGCCACTAAATGTAAGAATCTATCATTATATTGCCTAAATTGTATTAGATAGAGTCTGTTCCAGCAAAACTAACTGAGTGCTNCTTATAATTATATCCAGCTCCTTAACTGTTGCCACTAAATGTAAGAATCTATCATTATATCGCCTAAATTGTATTAGATAGAGTCTGTTCCAGCAAAACTAACTGAGTGCTTAATCGTATCTCCCGCTATGTCTTTATTAAAGCTTGTTGAGATGTTAGTGCCTTTTGTCAGTGAAACTATTTTCGATGATTTAACAGCCGCTGGCGCTGTCAAAATCGAATTTAGAGGGGTTAGATTGTGGTTTGTTGTTGACACGTTGTCTGCATTAAATTTTTCGTGTGATTTACGATGGTTTTTCAAGCATGTCTGTTGCCGGTACGCCTGACCACAGACATCACACACATACGGTTTTTCCCCGGTATGTATGTACTCGTGATGTCGGAGCGTTTTTCTTGAAGCAAAGCACTCCGCANATCTGCATTAAATTTTTCGTGTGATTTACGATGGTTTTTCAAGCATGTCTGTTGCCGGTACGCCTGACCACAGATATCACACACATACGGTTTTTCCCCGGTATGTATGTACTCGTGATGTCGGAGCGTTTTTCTTGAAGCAAAGCACTCCGCACAATACTGACATTCAAAGGGTTTCAATTTCATGTGCACTGCCCTTACGTGCGCTTCCAGCTCAAATTTTCTAATAAATTGTCGGCCGCAATGCTCGCACGGCATCTTGTCGGTTGAGTGAACTAGCATATGTTGAACAAGCATAAACTTTTTTGCCATTCTGCGGCCACAAACATTGCACTCATACTTCATTTCATTTGTATGTAGTTGTAGAGTGTGGTATTTTAAAGTGTATCGTGAATGGAATAGTTTTTTACAGACGTCACATTCAAATCGCTGCTTCAAATGTTCTTGCTCGGCTTGTTCCGCCTCTGTAGGATGTTTAGAACGTCGATGGTATTTAAGATTTCCAGATTGATTAAATGTCGCACCACACTGTTCGCACACATGTTGTTTTAGGCAAGGTGTATCCGAGTGTTTCAGCCGTTTGTGCTTTTGCATTGCAATGAAACTGGTATAAATGCGTCCACAGCCAGGATTATCACAAGCATATGACCGAACCTCAGCTTCGTGAATTTCTTTTATGTGCGTATAAAGTCCTCCGATAAAGCTATACGATTTTTCGCATCGATCGCATTTAAATGGCCGCTTACTTCCTTCGTGAACTTTGCGTACGTGAGCATCGAGTGTAATCTTATGGGCAAAGCTATGACTACACTGCACACATTTGAAGCTGTTTTTTGTTCCTTTGTTACGTTTATTCGTTCCTTTATTCCGTTTTTTTACTCTATTGTCAATTTTGGTATCTATCTCATCTGAATGCAGGTGTCCTTGAATGTCATAAGAAACTGCAATATCTTTTTTTAAACATTTGTGTCCTTTTTTAATTTTCTTGGACACATATGACGCAGATAGTCTCCCTCGACTATCTCTGGTTTTCAAATTACCGTCACCTCGGAAGTCGTTCAGGGCATCACTTGCCATTTTAATATTTCCTTTTTCTGAATTAATTTCCGATTCTACTTGACTATAGGTTTCCCATTCTTGATCGTTGCTTTCTTCATGCATTGCCTCACGCTGCGAATCACGTTGCATATCCTTCAGTTTTACCGACATTGAGGTGTCAAAGGGATCAGGATCTACAACACCTTTGCTATCTATACTTTCAGCATTTTGTGTTTCTAAAATAACGGTTTCCGTTTCCATTAGAGCATCCTTAAGCTAAACAAATATAAAAGTGGTTAATCCAAATTTTCTTCAAATATATGTACACTTACCAGCAATTTATATATATCCCGTTCATCCTGCATAGAACTAACTTCATTTTCGTATTTCTGTTGGTTTTCATTTTCATCTTCACCAATCTCAACTTTCGCAACTCCCTGCCACAAAAGCGCCTGCAGTTTTTGAGCACTTCTCTTTATTTTTTGACCAAATGTATGAATGTTTTGTAATTTATTATAGCAGCAGATGCACACACACTGGGGGTAATCTTCCAGCATACTTTCAGCTGCTTCTCCAGTCAAAACACCGTCCATGTATAGAGTGATAAGTTTTTGTATATCTTCATTATTACCGATGCTTATCGAAAAGTCTTTGAACTCGGGTGCCTCCTCAGCTGCAGCGAAACTTGTTATTAAATTGTTATTATCTATGTTTAAGCTCTTCAAACAAGTACGACAATGCTGCGTAACGTTTTCCCTAGTTAAGAACGACATTTTTCGCTAATTTGCATTTTAAACGATTTTAAGCAAATGCGATAGTTGTTTATTGGAGGAAAACATATGTATTTCCTCTATTGATGTAGTATTTGCATTTTTGGTACAACTAAATTCCGAAATAACCGGTTACCCGTTATTATTCTAAAATAAGATACAATTATAGAATCCTTGTCCGCTTTGCGTAAATACTGGTGTTAATATAATCCATGATAAAAACATTACAAGGTAAATTCATTCTCTCATTTCGTCGGGTAGATGTTGGCAGCTTCTCGCTCTAGTTCCGGCATATTAGGGTTGTTCCACAAGCTACTTGAACTTGAAGTTTTATGCAATTATTTTCCATGGTGCGTTCATGAAAGAATGCGGATAAACTGATAAATTTAAGCAAATTATCCCTTTATCACTTTAGAAGAAGACCCCTAATATAACCTCTATTAGCCGAAATTGAACTGCAGTATACTTGTTAAATTGAACCGGATACGAAAAAGTTGCCACTTTGCTATTAAAATGAATTCCAACTGGCAACCATCAGATGACCAAGGTGGCCAACCGTACACCATTATACCATTTTTCCACAACATCCTGAATTACTTTGTTCGCTCCCCCAATTACGATCGCGAATCACCCCATTTCCACGGCCACATTCTTAATTCGATTTGACAGTTCTCTGTCTGTGTTTTTTTTTTTTTTTCGCCGCGGCAAAATATCGGTTCTTCCTAAAAATTNATAAGTTTCCGTATTAAATTATAAATTAATTGGATCTGAATTACCAACTGAGGCAATTCGGTCTCAAAATTTTGTATGACGAATTACGTAATTCGAAGGGTAATTGGAGTGCGAATTACGAATGAGAGAGCGAACTACGTACGAAGGCCGTATTAGCCTGTTCCCATACTCCAGGATTTCCTGGTTTTACAGGAACAGGTGTTTTTGCCTTTAATAAACCTTATGTGAACGTTCTAGATTGAAAAAGTACGAATTTACCTCTGTTCGTTTGTAGCTTTTATTAAATCCAACTCATTATGCAATATGGATCTAAAAAATATAAGATCTAATATAATAATGCCAGCATAACGTCAACTAAGTAAAACACATATAAAAAAAGGTTTAATTCTTTCACTAATGATTAAAATACTTTTTGAGATTTCATACAAAATTACATACAAGTACATATCGATGGTCTTCTACAATAACGGCACTACTCAAAATTTCATGTTTTTGAGTTTATAGCAGATTAGGTTTATAAATAACCATATTTTTCTGTGGCAAATCGACATAGGCTTAGTTGTTAGCTATCTGGCAGACTCTATTAGGTTAGTCATTCTTTTATGTGAAATAACGACACTTTTCGTTTTGTGCTGTTTTTCAGCAATACAAAGTGAATTTTTTTCGTTTAACTTTATACGAGTTGTTACATATTTCGTATTTTTGCAGTCCTACACTTACGAAATCTTTAGTCATAATTTGAAAAATTACAAATTTTCCCTATAGATTGACTGCAATTACCCCGGAATAACTACGCTCCAATACATCGTTGGTGATACTGCAAAACAATCTATGTCTATTAGTACCCTCGACACTTAGATGGTCTTTTACGTGCACCGGTATGCATCTGTAAATCGTTACGCCCTAATAAACGAATGACAAAACTGTCTACCTTTGGCTGATTGTTGTTGTTGTTGTTGTAGCGGCTACTAAGCCCCGTTCGGGACGGTTCATCCATCATCGTTGTCGTCAATTTCAGCTAAGGGGTGGCCCAGGAAGTGTGCGACTTCCACAGGGGCTGTCCATAGGGACAGGGGCGTTAGCTGAGTGAGATTCTCAGGGCATGTGAAGAGGTGCCGGGTGTCATGTGGCGACTCTCCACATGCCGGGCATTGGTTGGGCACATCCTCGTTGATTCTGCTCAGGTAGCTGTTGAGCCTGCTGCAATAGCCAGAGCGAAGTTGGGCTATTGTTGTGCGGGTCTCCCGAGGCAGACAAAGTTCTGTCCCGTCCACGTCCGGTGGTTGTGTGCTTAGAACGGCATTCACAGGGCGGGAGTCTACATAACTTGAGACTGATTCCCTGTGATGAAGATGAACGGTTGCCAGAAGCGATCAGATACAGTTAACAGATCAATTAAGCAGCAGAGGTAATAAGTGACATAGAACGTTTTGCAGTATTACTAACGACATATTATTGCTAAATTACGAAACACAGATCTTTAATTGGCTCTACTGAAATATATGAACTGTGTCGTTATTGCAGAGGACCATCGATATATGTATTATGCAGGTATGTGACATCTTCTAGATAATACCCGATTTCCTTAACTCGTCTTTGAAATGTTTTAATCGATGTTGTTTCATAGCTGTTGGCTGCCGAAAATCTTTTCCACACACGTCGCAGAGATAAGGTTTCTCGCCGGAATGCCTGTAACTGTGAAAGCGCAATGATTTTTGAGTTTGAAAGGATTTATCGCAAAGTTTGCAGGGATATGGTTTTTCTTTCAGATGTGATGAACGTTCATGGTTCAATAAGTCCTGATACCACATAAAACTCTTATCACACTGACCACATGGTATCCTGCCATCGTTAGAATGTGTACGCAAGTGTTCAACAAGCAAATTTTTGATTGGAAAGCGTTTGCTACATATTCCACAAACACGAGCCATATCTTCTTTAATATGGAAGCACATATGCTTCTTCAGCGACAAATCTGTTAGA